GAGTCAAAGTTTGCTTGGTGGCTCTATCTCATAAACTCATAAGTTATAAGGCTGCATGAGATGAGGTGAAATTGGAGTTTAGTTCCAAAGAGCTGCAAAGAGTTGCGTGCAGCTTGCGAGCCACTCCTGCCGACCCGTCCTAGGTTATGGTAGGTTAGTTTAGTTAGTGAGTAAGTTAACGTTTAAAAAAGATTTGGGTGGTTGTGCTCATTTGTCTCTGTTGGTCTGTTCGTCTTGTCTAGTTTGTTGTTGTGTTCACTTGTTTTCACACTGTCTGTCTAGCTGATAATAGTATTGAGATTCCCTATTATGGACTCATCTTCTATGGTTGAAGGCCATCCTGACTGAGGTGCATCTTCAAGAGAATAATCTTCCTCCCTGAATTCTGAAAACCATTTCTGGAGTGTTCGATCAGTAACTGCATTCTTCCCATATACAGCACATATTTTTTTTTGAGTTTTTGTTGCATTTTTTTCTTTTCGGAAATAATAGAGCATGAGATGTTGAAAATGCACTTTCTTATCTTCCATTTTAATGTTTTTTTTTTCTTAAAAGATAACAAAATTTTAAAAAATATCTGTAATTAAACTTATGTAATAAATATTCAAATATTCGTAATGTCAACCTAAACAAGTTAAAACTTGATAAGCATGACAGAGGTGTCACAGAAGCAATTGTGTAAATATTTTCAAACGAACTTTTGGTTCAACCCAATATTTTGACAAATAATTTAATTAATTTAATATAATTATGCCATATATAGATTAATTCTTAGGAGGGGATAACATATTTGATAACGTATTACAAAAAGTTGTACTTACACTAAATAGTTTCAACCAAATCATTATTAGAAAATAATCCATGAATATTATCAGTTGCTTTTTATGAATAACGCTACTGATACGTGCTGGTGAACGAAGATGAGCCAGGTTCTTACAGTCAAACAGATAATGACTCAGGGTCACTTTACCCTGCATACAATAAGCACAAATGATATCTATTTTGACAAATTATTTAATTGCAAATTTATTGTAATGATGATAATTTTTATAACTCTTCATATAGGCTAGACTTGAAAGAGAGAATAATATTAAAGAATTTAAAACAGATGAAGATCTTCCCAAATATGGTGCTGGTAGTGAATTTGGAAGAGAGCAAAGAGAGGAAGCAAGAAAAAAGAAACATGGAATTGTAACAAAAAAATATAATCCTGAAGATCAACCATGGATATTAGAAGTTGGAGGTAGAGGTGGTAAGAAGTAGGTTTTAAATTTAAAAAATTATTTTCATTTTTTGTCGTTTTATAATTTTTTTTATAAAAATAAAATATCTTTTAAATACACTATTATTACATTTAAATAAATTGTATAATGTGTTTAAATGAGTTTTTAGTTTTAAAAATATGAGAAGTTGGGGGTTAAGGCGCGAGACTTAACCTGTTCTCTGACATCGGGACGGCAGGTCCCGCTCACTGGGTCGAAGGATTATGGTCTTCTATTGATAGAGCAAGTAGGAGGGTCAGCGAGGTCGCCGATAAGGTGTTGGCAATACACGAATTACTACAGCCATTCAGATAAACTTAACACATTTAATATAAATAATAAAAGAGATTACAGACGCAATGTAACAAAGTTACATAGTAAGACGACATAACATTAACATGAGTTCCATTTACCAGAGACAAAAACAGATAGTTCTTGTGGATAGCTATTTCCCTAAAGACTAAATCTAACTTAATTTCTAAGTTGACTGACAGAGAGAGAGTTTACATAAAAACTTCAAAGTCAATACCTTGTTTGGCACTGTTGCGAGAGTGATGTTTTCTTAATTGTCTTTCCATCGGTCTGGTGAGGCAGTGAGTAGCGGATCTAGCAGGAGTTCGGTCTTCTTCAGCACTCGCCCCAGTGATTGGGTGCGAGCCCTTTTTATACTTGTGGCACATGAGAATTGACTCGGGTGACTTAGATTTAATGTGGTCTGAGTTTGAGTCGGGTCTGGGTTTGGCTTTGGCTGATATGAGCTGCCAAGAACTGGATGATTCGGCCAAATTATTGATACTTTCTAGTCGTTATTGTGACTCATCTTACTTCATAATTTCATCTGGTTGACAGTTTCCTATCATTAATAATCAAATGCTTTGATTTAGGGTGTAACATAAGTCCAAACATCGTAATGATTGTTGATTCGGAGAGATATTTGATCAGTTTTATCTATCAGAGTATTGCAAGTGGGAGAGAAAAAAAAAGGAAATGGGTTTTTCCACTTTGTCATCTTCTCACTGCTTAACCTTTCTCTGCTCTGATAGAAGATTAGAAATCTTATTACTTTAAACAATTAATTAAAAATGTGCTGGAACGCTGATTAAAACAAAAGTGAAAATGAAAAAAGTCGAAATCTCACAAAAATATTTAAGATATTTTATGATTTCATATGAGTATTATCACAATTCATTTTTTTTATTTAGAAATTAAATTTTGAAATTAATTTGTATTGTAATTGTTAACAAAATTCAAATGATAGAGAATAAAGTTTTTTCATTACTTCTCTGTGATTAGAATACATTAATCCAAATTTACTTATATCAGTTTTTGGGGTTATTTTGGTATTGATTTAATGATGAAAAATCTAATTAAATTATACAATAAGAAAATTTTTGAGATTCAGAAAATATAAATTTTTTCATTTTTCAGCTGTTGTTTTGTTGTTAATATAGTAGTATAGCTTTAATAATTATGATCTTTGATGTCTGTAGATTTATTATTTATCTATATATTTTATCAAAAAAAAAGAGTAAACACAAAATAATCTCAAAATTTAATGTGTGATTAAGTAATACGAATAAACTATTAATGTGTTGTTTGTTTCAAATCTTTTAACAAACTTTTCTTATTGTAAAATTTAATGTTATTTTTGTACTCAATTTATTTTTGATTTATTTAAATTTTCATTTACAAGATTTGTTTAAAAGTTACTATCCTAAATTAAAATCTAAATTCTATTCTAATTTAATATTAAGTTCTTTAAATATTTTTGTTAAAAATTATTATATTTTTAAATTTTAGATTTAAAGGCATTAGAGAAGGTGGTGTTGCAGAAAATACTTCTTATTATGTATTTATGCAGGCACCTGATGGAGTTTTTGAAGCCTTTCCTGTCAGTGAATGGTATAATTTTGCTCCTATTCAGAGATACAAAGCTTTAACTGCAGAAGAAGCTGAAGAACAATACAATAAGTATGATATTAAAATTACTATATTATAAAAAATTGTCATCATAAACTGATTATAGAAATATAATTAATTTATGTTGATAAGAATAAATTAGTGCAGGAGTTGGCAACCTATTGTAAATGGGCCAAATATGGCGTACGGGGCAATTTTCAGTGGCACTAAGATTGAATAGAAATATAGTAAAAATTGTGTGTTAATTATTAATTACACATTTAAATGAAACCATACTTGAGTGTAGGTCATGGTACATTAAAAATGAATCTCTTGCTTGTATATTTATATTAGAACACACGCATTTATGGTCCATGTTACCATCTACGTGTGCATGCACTTCACATGTAAGAACATAATTCAATTAACAACTTAATTTCAAAATTATATATTTTTGAAGTTCGTTATAACTGGACCGATTTTGATAATAGTTTTAATAATAGTTGCCCAAATGAAAAGTGGACACATGTCAGAACTGGCAAACATTTATTGCAAATCTAAAAGAAATTTCCATGTTTGTTTAGGCAAAGATCCCAGTGTCTCGCAAGCAGATCAATGCCCCTCACACAGAATTCTGGTGGCTGCTGGTAACAAAATTCTTTAACATTATTCTTTACCTCATCATTGTTGCCTTGTAAAACTTTCTTGAGAAGTCCAAAAATGTGAAACTGCACAGCAGTAAAAAAAAAGAAGTCAGCATTGCTTTTCCAGCACTGGGCATTGCTATGGACTTACAAGGACTGGATAGGAGTATTTCTATTGCTTACACAGTTTCTTTGTTTTAAGAGTGTAATGGTGGCACCAAGTCTCATCTCCTGCAACAGTAAGGAGGAACTCAGGGTCTTTGTTATAGCATTGTTTTTGTCTATAGATGTTGGCACTCCTATTCCCTTCAACCACTAAAAACCAAACTACCTCCTGTTGTTTAATTCTGGACACTTACATAATAATTAACTTAACATTAATCTGTCAATTACTGGAGATAAAATCTATTCCTGCCAATAGTTAATGCAGCCTGTGCTTTGCCTATGTTGAGATTACCCACTTGTAAGTTGCCCCAACAATCACTACTTTGCACAATGAAATATTACAGGTGTCCACTTTTCAATTGGACAATCCTATATATATATATATATATATATGTTATATGTTACTCAAAATTAGAGAATGTCGATATTCTCCAGTGAATGTTGACACATACAAAATACGTCTGTGAAAGACCAAATATTTGGTTATATTATTATACATTCGAACAATTGCCGGTGTATATTGACAAGCACAGATAAGCTTTGGTGGAGGTCAAAACGACACCCAAGAAGCCAATGTCGACAGAAAGGCGACAGTCTGTCGCCAAATCCCTTGTTCTGCCATGATTGAAATCATGTGATATCTATTTGTTATACTCTGTAACACTGCTGTTTGTCAGTCTTAAACAAGGTTTGCTGGTGCGTGCAATGTTTTCTTCTGAAAAAGAGGATTAATGCCGATATTTGCTGTAAAACATCTTTTGAAGAAGTGGGGAGATGTCAGAACAACTGTCTTAGAATGGCATCCAAACCAGGTTGAGGTATGTGGAATTGAAGGTGTTAATTAAATTAATAGGCTTAGGGATCTCTACAATTACAATGCTATTAATTACTTCCGAAAGATAGTGAAGAGAAAAAAGCAATCAACATTAGACAGGTTATTTAACCACCCACAAATTTTTATCCAATACCCTAATTTATATTGAATGGATACTGCAGTGAACCAAGAAGTTTTTTTCTGAAAAGTTACATGCATTAATTGCAAGTAAACGAGAAGACAATTGTTTTTATTTTTCTCAAGAAAAGTACTCTAAAATACTTTCTGAAGTGATTTCTGCTAAAACTAAGTGCAGCACACCTTTGGATTACAGATGATTAAAACATTTTGACGTTTTAAAAATTAATGATGAAGAGAAATTAATTGTACCATTAAAACCAGGAGAAATGAATATACAGTATTATGTTACCAATGATAAATTGTTCAGTATACTATCTGAAACTCACAGCAAAACAGGCCATGGAGGAAGAACACATATGCTTAAAAGATTACAAAAAGATTACAAAAATATTACATGTGAAGTTGTAATGTTGTATTTAAATTTATGTAAACAATGTCAAATGAAACATAATGCACCTAAAAAAGATATTGTTGTGAAACCAATGGTCAGTCCAGAGTTAAACTCAAGATGTCAAGTCGATCTGATAGACCTGTAGTCACACAAGGATGGCGAATATAAGTTCATAATGGTGTATCAAGATCATTTAACGAAATTTGTCCAG